GGCTGCTGTGGTGGTTGACGTTGTTGCGGTTGTTGTTGTTGTTGCAGACGTTCTGGGCAGTTGGTGTTGAAGTGGCCTGGCTGGCGGCAAAAGAAACAGACATTTTGACCCATAAGGCATTCTCCACGGTGGTGTTTCCCGCAGGTTGGACATTCTGGATATTGTCTGGGACGGTTTCTCCGGTTGTCAAGAGTATTTCTGAACTTCCTTTTCTTCTGATTCTTCGATGGTTGCGCATCTTTAGTCTGAGCTGGTGGCTGAGCAGCTGGCTGAGCTGATGTCTGGGCGGCTTCGCGTCTGATACTGGCATCGACTTCCTGTGCAATGGCGACTGTACGGGCGTAAGTCTGGACACCGTGACCTACAATGTTATGGCGGACTACTGGACGGAGTCCGTCTGCGAAACGATGAGCTCTCTTCGCCTCCGTACCTACAAGATCAGGCACAAAGGCTCCGAGACGGGTAAACTCTCTTTCGTACTCGTCGACTGTACGAGTACCCTGGATGAGTGCCAAGAATTGGCGCTCCATGTCAGCTCGGTAATACGAAGGATAGTACTTTTCTCGAATTAGTTCTTTGAATTGATCCCACGTACAACCGTCTTTTTCACCGGGGCGCATGCCCCAGTAAGCATTCCACCAAAGTCTAGCGTCTCCGGTCAGTTGGATCTGAGCACATATCATACGGTAACGGTTAGGGCAGTCCATGACCTCAAAAATCATTTCGAGGCCCTGGATCCATTCATCTACGATACGAGGATCTCCTTGGCCAGAAAATTTTTCTGGTTGGTAGTCGCGGAACTGGGCGACTACAGTGGCCTGGGAGCGTTCCTGATGTGCTGGATCTCTATGAGGAGGCATCTGAATGTTGAAATATTCAATACGATTAATAACATGAAAGATTAACTGACTGATTTCTTAAGTACACAAATTTCTTGACGAGTCGCTAAATAACCCGAGAATACCAAAGTCGAAATATCAAATAACTGGGACAATCGACTAAGTTCTGAAATTACTCGAGCATCGTACTGATTTCTAAGGTCAATAATCTGATACCTTTTTCTGAGCATAGACTTAAGTATTTATTTAAATATATATATATATATACTGAAACTCAGCACTTACCTGATAGTCGGCGAGTCGTGAGCGT